CACATCCTGCTGGGAGCCGCTAAGCCGAGAGAGGACTCCGTAAACAGGTACTCATGTCCACGCAGTACACAGCTCCCCTCTCCGTCCTGAGCTAAGACTGACCTCCAGGCAAAGGAGGACACAGACAAGGCAGAAGAGGCTAAGGACTTGGCTTCTAGTTCCCTGTCTGTGACTGTGATACAAGCCCTGACTGAAAGTCACTTAGAGAGGAGAGGGTTTGTTCGGCTTACGCTTCTAGGTCACGGTCCATCCCTGGAAGTCGAGGCAGCATCTTAAAGCAAGAATCTGGAAGCAGGAACCATGGAGGAACACTGCTTGGTAACTCACCCAGGCTCTTTCTCAGCTGGCTTCCTGACATAGCCTGGGACCACATTTCCAGGGATTTTTATCATCCACGGTGACCTGAGCCCTCCTTATCCATTAACAATCAAGACAATCCCTCAAAGATATGCTCACACAGCCAACCCGGGGAAGACAATTTGCTCAGTTAAGACTCTATTGTTAACTCTGTGTCAAGTTGAGGACAAAACCAAATGGCATTATGTAATCACAAATTAAAAGCAGTGTTCTTCCATCAGAAGGTAAATTGTGTAGGGTTTGTGCTGGGTTTGGTCTTGAACTAGGTTCCCAATAGCTCAGGCTGGCCTTGACTTCATGAACCTCCTGCTTCAACCTCTTCCCACTTCCCTTTGCTGGGGTGATGGTCCAGTTGTTTGGGGTTCCCTCCCAATGGGTCAGGATCCAGAGCCCCTGTGGTACTGCTGAAGTGGCTACCGCATGCCCATTGGCCATCTCCTTAGGGCACAGTTGTTACCAGGGAAATTGGGATCCTATCCTGAGTTCTTATAGATCTGGAAGGACTGGTAAACATGCCAGGTTCAATTCCCAGCTCCTGCATGGTGGAAGCCACAAAACAACTCCCGAGGGTTACCCTCTGACATCCACAGGCAAGTTCAATTCCCAGCTCCTGCATGGTGGAAGTCACAAAACAACTCCCGAGGGTTACCCTCTGACATCCACAGGCAAGTTGCAACATAGGTGCCCGCTTCACAATGGAATAAGAAATAGATGATTTTTAAAAGTTTATTTATTTGAATTTTCACTTATTTATAAATGAATTTTTTTTAAAAAAATTTAAAAACAAATGCAACTACTAACCCTAGACCAAAGCACACACACACACACAAAACTATAAAGCAGGCTCAGAATGAAGCTCAATTAGTTTGTTGGGTTTTGTTTTTTATTTTGCTTGGTCATTTTTTGTAGATTTGAAAGAACACCACAAGGGCAGCGTAGAGAGGCAAGCAAGCTATAAATCTCAGTGACTGCTAGAAGGAGGTAGAAGAGATTGACTTTTTGAATTGAAATTCAAGAAAACCGGTATGTATGTCCAGCAGTCAAGGAACTGCATGAGAGGTGGAGGACTTCAGAGAAAGAGGGAGAAAGCCCAGAGTGTCCGGAAAGCATGGGCCAGTGCAACAGGAAAAAAGGAAAGAGAAAAGAAGTTTTATTTTGTCTTGTTGGAATTCAGAATGGGTCAGTTGCAAGCTCTGCAGGAGCAGCAGGTGAGGACAGCAGATGAGGGCGGCAGGTGAGGGGCTTCCGGGAAGGACAAGACAGGGGTAATTATTTCTCCCAACTCCTTCGTACATCTCTAGGTAAATCAGTTTTCCAGAGGCTCAGTCTCCAGGCCAGGTGGTTGACAGGCCCAGCTACCGACAACAGGATGTGATGTTCTAATCTTTGGAGCAAAGATGAATGTCTTTGACCCAGGGCCAGAAGCAGAACTCAGAGTCCATTCTCTTGGAGAGGAGGAGGCAGCTCTCCCCAAGGGGCCTCCACTAAGACCACCACTTTTTCTAAATCCTAAGGAGGGGCAGTGGTGTTGTTTTCCTTTCTGGTGTTTACAGTGGAATGGAAGACTGGGGTGAGGGTGGGGGGTCCATCTGGCAGAGAGGGGTCTTTCCAATGCTCTGGTTATTCTCCTGAAACTGTGGTGGTGCTGGGGATTGAACCCAGGTCTTCACCCACGCTAGGCAAGCACTCTAACACTGAGCCACATCCTCGTCTCCTTTTCAGGGGAACCTTTAAACAACCAGGGAGAGTTTTCAAATTCCATCTGAGTGAAACTAACAGTCTCCAAGGGACTGGAATTTTTCTAAGAATCGTATGCTGCAGCAAGGGAAAGATTGAAGTCTGATGCCAGCCATGTGGGTATAGCGAGGAGCATACACTTGTATCCCCAAGAGTCCACATGTTTGTGATGACATTGTGGAGCCAAACAATAATGGGGCAATGATGAGCGGGACCACACAATGACCAGGACTGCTTGGCCTTATACACCTTTTCCCTCTATTCAAACCTAAAGCTCATGTCAGGACCCTGATGGCAGACTTGGAGTGACCAAATCTCTTTGTTCGTCTTCCCAATGTAGCCACATAGAATGAATCTCTCTCCATTTTCTCTCTTCTTTGTCTCTCCCATTAGTGTGGTGGGGATTTGTAGGCAGAGCTTTTTGTTGGGACCGAGATCAGCTCTGTTTCACCAGCAACTTCCCAAATAACCACTCAGAGACTTATTATTAATTATAAATGTATGGCTGATAGCTCAGGCTTATTATTAATAGCTCTTACAACTGAAATAAACCCATTTCCATTCATCTGTGTGCTGTCCCGTGGCTCGTGGCTTTTTACATCTCCTGAATGTTCTGTTTTCTTTCCATCTGGTTGGTGACTCCCCTCATTTTATCCTTCTCTGCCCTGAATCCTGCCTAGCTATCAGCCAATCTGGTTTGTTGTTGTTGTTAACAATGAAAACAACATATTTTCACAATATACAGAATGATTATTTCACAGCAGGAATGTGTGGTAGTTTGCTCCCCCACTGCTGTGATAAAATGCTGATTTATGAAGAAAAGAGTTTATTTCAGGTTTTAGTTTATCATTTAAGGAAGTCAGGGAAGGAACCTGGAGGCAAAGAACTGAATCATAGACCATGGAGTAACCTCACTTTCTAGTTTGCTTCCGGGCTCATGTTCTGTTACTGTTCTTTTTTTTTAAAAAAAAAAATAGGGTTTCTCTGTAGCTTTGGTGCCTATCCTGGAACTAGCTCTGTGTAGACGAGGCTGGCCTCGAACTCATAGAGATCCGCCTGCCTCTCTTTCCCGAGTGTTGGGATTAAAGGCGTGAGCCACCACAGCCCAGCCTGTTACCCATCTTATATACCCCAGGTCTACCCTGCTCAGGGATGGTACTGACCATAGGACTGGGCCTGCTACATCAATTAGCAATCAGACAAATGTACCCACAAACATGCCTGTAGTCTAATTTGAAGGAGGCTTTCTCAATTGCTTCTCCCTAGATGTGTTAAATTGACAATTAAGATTAGCCATCACAGGGTGTGTGGCTGAGGCTAGCCTGTTGGGGCAGTTGGATTCATGAGTTTTGCCCTATTAATTCTAGTTACAATTTTGAACCAATATCCTTGAGTCTTTTAACCTAGAAGAGTTTGCGGTCACTAGTTCCTGGATGTTTAAAACCTCTACAATTTAAATGTGTCAAATGTACCACAACTCACATCAACAGAGCTCAGCTAGGGGTAGTATTTCATTTAGGGGACCACTGGACAGAATCTGGAGGCATTTTCAATGATCACGTTTAAGGCCTCGGAATGCACAGGACACACACATACAAGCACGCACACACATACCAAGGAAATAACTGGGCCAGAATTTCAATAGTGCTGAGGTTGAGAAAGTCTAATCCACTAATTTGCTTATGGGAATAATCACTTCCTCAACTAGAATGGGATTCTGTAGAGACATCTGTCATATAGGGCCCTATCCTGGAAAACTGAAGTCAGTGAATACTCAGTTAGCAAATCATCAGGTGGGTGAGGCCAGCTCCCATTAGGCGTCTTCTCTGAACAGTCGGCTCCTTGGATTAGGAGGGTCAGTAAGGTCACGGAGGCTGGGATGTGGAGACATGCCTGGAATATTTGGAATGACACAACTTCACTGGGCAGGCAACACAGGACCCAAAGGTTCAGTCTGCCTTTATTTTAATTTTCTGTACAGTGCCTACAATGCCCTCAGCTTCTCCCTCCATTGAATGAATATCACCAAACACAACTGTGATTTGTATTTAATACTTTATATGTGTCATTTCTATTACAAGTGATTTCTTTCACCGCTAGCAAAGGTATTCCTTATCAGGATCATTCCTTTAGTGTTTATTTATTTATCTGATGTTTTGTTTGTGTTTTGTTTTGTTTTTCCTTTTGGGAGACGGTCTCATTCCATACCCCAGGTTGACCTGAGACTTTTAACAATCCTCCCGCTTTTGCAATGCTGGGATTACAAACCTGGCTTTTTTTTTTTTTTTCAACTGTCTTAACTGGGTCCAGGACCAAAACCTGCGCTTGGTCAGCATGAAGTCTGTTGCCTACTTCACAATGTCACCTAGGGCACCCTGGACCAACTCACAATGTTGCTTTCAGTGAGCCCTGCCCAGAAATGGGGTCTCAACAGAGGATCAAGGGTAGATGCGCTTCGAGCCCACTGTGAATCAGTTCCGGCCAATGAAGCCAAAGCCCGGGAGGTGTGGAACTCCTGAGGTTAGACAGGCTGGCGCTAGAGGCCCTGGTTCCTGACAGATGAGAACCCCCGAGAAGACAGAAAGCCACAGAATCCGATCTGCGTGTAGGCAGAGGCATGAGACCCAAAGCTGCCTGGGGTACCTCATCTCCTGCCACAGGGGCCAAGGCTGCCTTGAACTGATTTCTTAGCCCTGAGTCCCAGCCTGCAGGAGGCGGCCAGAAGCCACGCAGCCCCTGAACTTCCCAAAAGCGCTGCTTTCTGGGCCCGGCCCACAGGTGACTAGAGGGTCAGACCAGACGGAAAGGATCCGCCTCTCCCAGCCTGGGGCTCAGAAGGGCGAAGGTTGGTTCCCAAGGCCACGTGAAGCGCCCAAACCGGCAAAACTAATGCCAGAAGAAAGTTAAGATCGCCCAGGCCTCTCCAACGAAACGTCCCTCTGTCACCCCCAAGTGCGGCTCTTGCAACAGCTGTTACCGCCGGCGCCAGTGGGACCTAATCCAGCCCGGCAGAGGTCACAGCGGAGAAGCGATGTCCCACCGAAGTTCTGGCAGGAGCCTCGGGCCGCCAGCGCCGCAGCTGCTGCTGCTGCCCTTGCTGCTGCAGCTTTCCTGGGCAGCCGCCGTGCGCCAACATAAGCAACCAGGTGAGCAAAACTAGGGGCCGCGGATTGGGGACCGCGCCCCGTACCCCGCAGCGCGCGCCCGCGGCTGGCCAGAGTCCCAGCAAGTTTGCACCCAGGGGCGTCTTTGGGTCGCACTTCTTGGTGGGCAGCCTGGCGAGTTGTGCTCCAGCCCTGCCTTAGATCAGCCAGCGGTGGCTTTTAAGGAGGGAACTAGGAGTCTCAGCCAGCGGTGGCTTTTAAGGAGGGAACTTGGGGTCTGCCAACTTAAAAAAGTTTTGGCCTGAGTTTTTGGCACAGCCAGAGCAGATCCAAAGGGCTCCAGTCAAAAAGGCATCTAAGTGTGTTTACCCAGATCGAACGGAGGTGAGATTTGAGGCCCGCCTGTGTTCTGCTTCTAAAGGCAGGCAAGCGACTTCGGCTTAAGAGAATTGATCGCAAACTGGTAATACGTGACAGGGACAAAACAGAAAAGAGTGATGCTCTTTCCTCCAAGTGGCCTCTTAGACCAAAAGAGGGCAAAAAATCTCCGTTCTACAGCCCAAAGAGCCAGGACGGGACTGGGAGGAAGTCGGGAATTTGCGCAAAGATAAGACAGCTGGATTGCCAGAGGGCCGTGGTGTAACCTCTTCCTGTCAGTAAAGCAGGTCTCAACAGGCGGCCTTCCAATCTTATCTTTCCATTTGCAAGAAGACCAGAAAGAATTGTGGGTTGTGCAGACTTGGGAGACTCCAAAAGCCAAATTTGGAGAAGATGAATTCAATTTCAAAATCTTCTCCATACTGACCTTGCCCAAGGACAAGCTGGGACTTGGGCAGGGTCCCCTTCCCAAAGTGGCTCAGATTCTTGTTACCAGCCGTCAACAAGGACCCGCACCTTGGAGATTTTGAGGTGTTTGCTTTCAAAACCGACTCCAGCCGTTCTGGTCCTGCATCTTTCCAGTAAGCGCCGGTCTGTGGCATCAGAAGACAGCGGTCCAGAAACACCTGGCGTCTCCCCTGAGTTAGCTGCACATTGTTTCCTCTCCCCAACCACCACACACGTACACACACACACACACACACACACACACACACACACACACTTTTAGTCTTGAGAAATGGTCCTCACTGCAGATAGCAGTCCTGATAGGCCCCTCCACGTGGGTTTGAGGACAGTTAAGGATGTTTGCAGTGCTATTTGAGATGCCTGTGATTTCCTTTGTTCCTCTCTATGGATCTGTTCATCTCAATGTTGATTCTGTACTGGAGACTTCCTCAACCTGCGGGCACACTACCTGAAATCTGAGTTGTAAAAAACCAGGGACTTGGCTCTCTCCCTGTGCTCCCTGAAGTACCTAGCTCAGTTCTGTGAGCTCAGTCAGCTTTTATCCTAACGTTTCATGGGGAGAGGTGAACAAATATGTACTCGCCCCAGACAAGGCGCCCCCCTGAGCCATCCTGCTGGCCCACTTCTTATTTTTGAATTTGGATTTCTTTTTATTCTAGAAACTGGCGGATTTATTTTGCAGTCACCTCTTCACGTTGTTTTAGTTACAGCCCACAGATGGCAGTGTGGCCGGTCTTTGAGGACTGAAAAGCCCAGAAGTATTTTTAAGAACATCCTTGTCTGGTTTCACTGTGTATGTGTGTTCAGTCCTGGGGATTGAACCCTGGACCCCATGAATGTTCAAACATTACCCTCTGTGATGGAGCAACCCCACCTCAACTCGTGCCATTCGAGAATAATCCTCCAGGCCAAGTCGGGTGGTCACTAGAGAGAGATGGGGCAACCTCTCTGAGACGTAGAATATAGCATATTCCTTCTTAAAACTGGTTCCTCACCTGACTGTCAGCCTTACAGGGCAAGACTCCAGAAGCCAGTATTGGCAGCATAGCAGATGTGATCAGATCTCTGGGAGCCAGTTCACCCTGATACACACCCAAGTCTGTTCCCAGACTCTTCATTAAGTATTCATTGGAGATATAACTGTCGGGCTGACTGGGTGCTCCTGCAGCCTGCTTCAGGCATATTCTTCCTGCCACCAAGACACACGGTAGACATTACTGAGTTCGATGTCTGGGGGCCTGGCTCCTCTCCCCTCAGTAGAACCTGGAATCAGCTGGTAGCGTTTGTCTGATTGAGCCATCTGACCAAATGGTGGGTATCTGCCTGGCCACATATCCAGGCCTCACCCATGTACTCCTACTACCCTGGATGTCATTTTAGTCTCCTCGAGGTGTCATGGCCGACCACTGGTTGAGTCTGCCCTCAACGGCTACTTTAACTCTGAATTCACTAAAGTGGGTCTCATGGTTGCTCCATGGATTTTTTTTTTAACACAGTAGTTCTTTATTATCTTTTATTATTTTAAAGACAGAATATCACTGTGTAGCCCTGGCTAGCCTAGAACTCATTGTGTAGACCAGGCTGACCCAGAACTCAGAGAGATTCACCTGCCTCTGCCTCCCGAGTACTGGACTTAAAGTCATGAGCCACCACACCGGCATGGCCTTGTTGCCCTAAACGCTGTTTCAATCGCTTCTGTGTGCTGCTTTAGCTCGAAAGGGTGGCTAGTGAGTTATTGCTTCTTTGTACTAGGGCAAAAGAGGAACTTACCTAATATTGTTAAAAAAGAGATAGAGGTAGTGAAATTATGGGGAAATGTTTGTGCAAAACAAAGCTTGTAACTCTGTGTCTGCACTGCTGCAGATGCCACGGGACATGTGTCAATCTTCCTGGGGGAAGTTGTGGAAGTCTTTTGATTGAGATTTGAAAAGAGAATAAATAAATCCCCGAGAGAGACTATCCTGCCGTGAAAGGCCTCCGTCAGCCTGACAGGTGCTGCCGTAGGCCCAGCATGAAGGGCTGACCAGCGACCTAAGCATTAGTCTCTTTAAGATGCCCTGTAAACTCAGGTGACCAACATCCTAATTCATAATTTGAAATCGTGAATCAATATCCAGAGACCAGTGAGATTGCACAACCAGAAAGGCTCACGGGGCACAAGGCTGACCTGAGTTTGATCCCTGGGACTTGCATAGGGTGGAGGGGGGGAGGTACCCGGCTCCACTCTCCACAGAGCTGTCCTCTGACCTCTGCTAGGTGCTGGGACACACACACACTCACATCCATCAGTGTGCTGTGAATTCCGTGTGTGTGTGTTCCCATGTGTGTGTGTGTTCCCGTGTGTGTGTGTGTTCCCATGTGTGTGTGTGTGTGTTCCCATGTGTGTGTGTTCCCATGTGTGTGTGTGTGTGTTCCCATGTGTGTGTGTGTTCCCATGTGTGTGGGTGTGTGTGTTCCCATGTGTGTGTGTGTTCCCATGTGTGTGGGTGTGTGTGTTCCCATGTGTGTGTGTGTTCCCATGTGTGTGTGTGTTCCCATGTGTGTGTGTGTTCCCATGTGTGTGTGTGTTCCCATGTGTGTGTGTGTTCCCATGTGTGTGTGTGTTCCCATGTGTGTGTGTGTTCCCATGTGTGTGTGTGTTCCCATGTGTGTGTGTTCCCATGTGTGTGTGTGTTCCCGTGTGTGTGTGTTCCCATGTGTGTGTGTGTTCCCATGTGTGTGTGTGTGTTCCCGTGTGTGTGTGTGTTCCCATGTGTGCCCTTCCAGTTTGGGATTGAGGTGGCCGTGTAATCAAGAAAGAATTGTGGTAGGCCCGAGGGAGTGGATGTGTTGGCAGATGAGACTCACCTCCCATTCCCAAGGAGGTCGTGATGGAGATTATTGGACCAAACACACACAAATATCTCTCATTAATGAGGGCTCTTGATGAGCCGTGACTCAGAGGGTCAGATCTGCCAGGCATGGTGACACACACCTTACTCCAGAACTCGGAAGGCAGAGGAAAGGTGATCCCTTAAACTGAGGCCCGCCTGGGCTACACAGCAAATCCCAGGCCAGCCAGGGCTGTGACACTTTCCCCAAAAGAGAGCGAGTGGAGAGTGTAGGTAGGGCTGGGGGAGGGGCGCGCCAAATCAGAATGAGGCCAAGTGGATGTTCAAGCGGGTAAAAACGAGGGACCATTTGGGGCCTGAGAAAACTCCAGTTATTCCTGCATTCTTGTTTTGTTGTTCCCTAACTGCCCATCAGGGCCACCAGCCACTCGCACCAGCTTCACACAAGCCTGCCCTCCTGTGCCCCACAGTGTCTGGCTTTCCATGGCAGAGCATCTCAGGCTGCAGACTTCAGGGGGACCCTCACAAGCCTGCGAGAGAGCTCTTTAACCTAGGCAGGGCATCTTATGACTATGTAGGAGAGGAGCAGGCAAAGAAATGTGCCCCTTTCTCTCTGTGTCTACATCTCTTTTGAGATTTCCCGCCTGGCTTCCCTCTGCTAAGCCACTGGCTAAAACAGCTTTATTCATAGCCGATAGGAGCAACACATACAGAGAAGGCCTTCCCACATCACTTTTCCGTCCACATTTGGTTTGTTTGTTTGTTTGTATGGGGACGGCATCTCACTATGGAGCTCAGGCTAACTTCAGATTCCCAGTGGTCCCCTGTCTCAGCATCCCAAGTGTTGGGGTTCCAGTAGTGAGCCACCATGACCTGCTGTTCCCCTCCCATCCTTGGGATGGGGTACCACACACTACCTCAGCAGGGCCTGGGAAGATCAGTCAGTTCACAGTTGGGCAGACTCATTGGCTTCCCCCATTTCTCCTGCTCTTCACTCTATTCCCAGGAGGAATTTACCCAAACAACCTTCCTCTGAGCCTACACCAAGCTGAACACATACCATTTTCTTGCCTGGACACTGCAAAACTCACAGAGCAGTTATTTCATCAGTAACTCTGATGAAGACTCAAAGCAAATCTAGAAGTCAGAGAGCAGTTTCTTGGGGGCCCTTGTAGGGGGAGGAGGCACGAATACTCACCACACAAGCGAGGCACACGAGGTAGAGGAAGACAGACTGAGGCACTTCAGTGAGTCTCCACCCAACCCGAACAGAATAAACCTCAACCTCGGGCCTCATACGTTTGCAAACATAATTACAAAGAGATATTAGGCCAGCCTCTCTGAAGGAACTGATGTTTGAATAAACTTGCTTTTCATTAGAAGAACGAGCACAGAGCTGAGAACTGTACTATTTAGCTTGGAAGAAGGAGGCCAAAGGGTCAGGAGTTCAAGGTCTTAGAGGGAGTTGGAAGGCAGCCTGGGCTACATGAGACCGCCTCAAAACACATAACTAGGGCTGGCGACAGGCGGCACAGCTCAGTAGTTGAGCGCACTAGCTCCTGCAAAGGACTAGGGTTTGATCCCCAGCACCCACGTGGAGGTTCATTGCAGTCCTTAGCTGCAATTGTAGGGACCCTAACACCTTCTTTTGACCTCCAAACGTACCAGGCACACACAGGTACCAGACATGCACTCATAAAAGAAATCTAAAAAAAAACCCACCAATGAGAATCCCCAAAGAAACGTCATTTTGTGGGGAATAGCAGCCCTCGGCAGAGGTGGGCAGATACGATCTTCGCCTTCAGAGGGCTGCTGCTGAAAACAAGGTTAGGGTTAGGAGGACGCACATCTCCTCCCATCAGTCCACCTTCTCCAGCATCTGCCCCTGCGTAGATATGCTCTTCAACATGGATGATGAGTTAGCATGCTAAGGGGGTTGGAAAAAGATAGTCGAGATGCTAGAAAACAAGAAGGAATTGGTAGACATCATGGAATGAGTGAAGTTGTTAGGGGCAGATCAAAACCCTCAGGCTTAGCATTAATCCCAAAGACATGTCCTGTGGGTAGTAAACTGGTTTTGGTGACATCTTAAGGATGGGGTGGAGGTGTCTTCATGCGGAGGTTTGTTGGTGTCGGAGAAGCTGGCTTTTGTGGTCAGGGATGCAGGAGGCTCCAGCAAGAGTGAGCTGAGCCCTCGAATGCTTCTCTTGCCTGCAGCAGCCTCAATGTGCAGAAAAGGGTTTGGGAGAAAGTTGCATTGACTTGAGCTTAGAAGAGAGAGCAGGGCCGGGCGATGGTGGCGCACGCCTTTAATCCCAGCACTCGGGAGGCAGAGGCAGGCGGATCTCTGTGAGTTCCAGACCAGCCTGGTCTACAGAGCAAGTTCCAGGACAGGCTCCAAAGCTACAGAGAAACCCTGTCTCGAAAAACCAAAAAAGAGAGAGAGAGAGAGAGAGAGAGAGAGAGAGCAGGAAGGGAAGAGGCCTGTGGGCTCACTTGCCTTCCCCCTTTCTCTCATGGTTCCCCTTTGGTGATTTCTCCCAGCCTCAGTTTTTTGTGGTAAAGTCAGGCCTGGTTCCTCATTCCAGGGGTGGGGTAGTGGTGGTGGTGGTGGTGGTGTGTGTGTGTGTGTGTGTGTTTGTATCGGAGAGGGAGAGACTCAGGAAAGGGATCAACTATAGCTTCTGGAGTCAGGAAGAAACTTGGAGAACAGACTTTTTATATTTGGGAAGGAAATTTTAAGATGTGCACAGCTGTCGATTATGGCTACTCAGTTTCATTAACAGCTCATTGTCTGTTGCCAGGATTAGTGAGAGGTGTGTTTGTGTGCATATGTGCGTGCAAGTGTGTGTGTATACTATTGTTGTTTTGAGACTGTTGTTTTGCTCTGTAGCCCTGACCAGCCAGGTACTAGAAGACTGTCCTCAAACTAGCAGTGATCCTCCTGCCTCTGCCTCCTGATGCTGGGATTGCAGCTATATGCAACCATGCAAGACCTGCCAGGAATGTAATGCAAACCTTTGCTTCCATTTAACCCTTTGTAAAGGCCTTCTGCTTGGGTCTGACAACATAATTGCAATTCCAGCAAGGAGGGTGGTGAGTTCTAGTCCAGCGTGAGATCCATACCGAGTGTATGCCTCAGGCAGTCAGTAACAACAAAAATACCTCCTTTCCAGGATATAACTATGGTCAGTCGCAGCCTGTGACCCTGTTCGTCTTCCGGTTCAGTGTGCATGGTGATTCTTACAGAGTCCAGGATCCCAGTGGGGATGGTGCCACCCGCAGTGGGTGGGTCTTCCCATGTGATTCCAGATTCTGTCAAGTTGACAGCATTTACCACTACACAGATGACCGGCACCCCACTAGACTCTCCTGCTGCTGTTTCCTGAGCACCAACTCTGTGACAGGGACTCTATCTGCTGGGAGAGAAACTGTCTCTGGATTTGAGGGGTTTGCCATGTAGGGTTAAGTGTAAAGGAGTGGGAACAGTGGCTCCTGTGAGACGGGACAGTTTGCTGAGTCCTCACCAACCATTTCCAGAAGGTTAGAATGGTAGGAAGAGAGGGAATATCAGGAGGAAGAAATGGCATCTCACATCAGGAGAGCTGAGCCAGTTCCTGGCAGGGCGGAGAGCTGGATGCACGGGTACCAGAGTGATCGGCCTGGAGATGCTACAGGACACGAAATGGATTGTGAGACCAAGAGGAGGGACTGAGAAATTGATTTTTTATTTTTTTATTGTTTATTTTGGGATAGGATCTCACTAAGCTGTACTCAAACCTGAGATCCTCCTGTCTCAGTCTTCCAAATCCTGGGGTGATGGGTCAGCATGGGTCAGCATGCCTGACCATTCCTGGCTTCAAATGGGAATCACTTTCTCTCCCCTCTCTCTGTGTCTCTCTCTTCTTGTGTGTGCGTGCGTGCGTGCGTGTGTGTGTGTGTGTGTGTGTGTGTGTGTGTGTGCAAAGCCTGTGGTTAGCCACAGATGTTCCTTGGGATGCTATCTACGTCATTTAGTTTCAAGACAGGTTTTATACTGGACTGAGGCTAGACTAGCCCGCGAGCTACTGGGAGCCAGTACTGGGATTACAAACACATGTCACCACAGCTGGCTTTTACTAGGGTGCCAGAGATCAAATTTGGGTCCTTACACTTGCTTGGCAAATATTTCACCGACTGAGCCATCCTCCCAGCCTGTAGGATAGAAATCTTTAAAAACAAACTCTGTGACATTGGTTACACGGGGGAAAGGCATGGGCCTTGGCTGAGTGGCGTCCCTCACGGCTCCCATTTCCTTCAGGAATCTACTATGCAACTGCATACTGGGTACCTCATTCGAAGTCAGTGGAAGTCAGGAACGTGCTGGACAAGAATGGGGATGTCTACGGCTTCTACAATGACTCCATTACAGTCACAGGCTGGGGCATCCTGGAAATCAGAGCTGGGTATAGCTCTCAGATCCTGCCCAATGAGATCATCATGTTTCTGGCCGGCTACCTCGAGGGCTACCTCACGGCTCCGTAAGTACCCTATCTCTTTACTTTGCGCCACCGTGGCTCCTGGACCCTGGAATGGTGTGTTAGAAGTGGAAGGTAGCTGGGGTGTCCTTGCTAGGTTAACAGCACCCCACTTGTACCCATCATAATCATATCCACCCAGAAAACACAAAGCACCCAGGTCGGGCACCCACTCCTTTTCATAATACTTCTTTCTTGAGATCTACTTTTTGGGGTTTTTTTTGTTTTTTTTTTTTTTAAACGGTTTCTCTGTGTAAAACCTCTGGCTGTCCTGGAGCTCACTTTGCAGACCAGGCTGACCTCGAACTCACAGAGATTCTCCTGCCTTTGCCTCCCGAGTGCTGGGATTAAAGGTGTGCACCACCACCATTATGTGCGTTGTATGCAGTGTATATACTTGTCCATTTGAGTGTGTGCATTGTGTGCAGGTGTGCCTGCGCGTGTGCAGAGGCCAGAGGTTGGTGGCGTCTTCCTCGGTCGCTCTCCACTTTAATGTTTTGGAGACCGGGGTTCTCACTGAATCTGAAGCGCTGTGCTTCAGCTAGACTGGACAGCCAGTGGACACCAGACACAGCTGCTCCTGTCTCCTCCTTTCCAGCGCTTTGGGTTGTTTTTGTTTGTTTGTTTGTTTGTTTGTTTTGAGACAGCATCTCACTTTGTAGCTCTGGCTGTCCTAGAACTCACTCTGTAGACCAGGCTAGTCTTCTGCTCACAGAGATCTGCCTGCCTCTGCCTCCCAAGTGAATGCCGAGCTTAACGGCATGTACCACTGTGCCAGGCTGCTTAGTTTTCATTTTTAAAAAGCAACTACGATTCTGTAACTACAATTTGTTTTGTTTTTAATTGATTGGCTTTACTTTGTTTTTTAATAAAATCTTATGTTTTGTCTCTGTGGGTTTTGTTTAGCTTTGTTTTTTTTGGTGGGTTCAGTTTTTTTGTTTGTTTGTTTGTTTTGTTTTTGTTTTTGAGAAATGGCCTCAGTATGCAGCCTTGGCTGTTTTGGAACTTGTCACGTAACCCAGGTTGGCCTCAAACACACGGATATTCATTTGCCTCTGCCTCCCAAGTGGGAGGATCTGGGCATCATTGCTGCTGCAACAAGCGACCTGATCAGACATCCAGGATCTGCAGCAGCTCTGCCGCCCTGCTTACTGAAAGGTAGACACAGGCAGGAAACTCAGCGTGATGGTGTGTTTAGATCACCTCTGGGCTCAGCACAGAGCTGCCCAGAGCTGGCTGCTTGCACAGCGACTGTGTGTCCTTCACACCCATGCTTGGCCGAGGGCTGGGGAACAGGTAGCAACCATGTCCCTCTTTCTCTTCTGATGTGGCCCCAGAGATGGGGTTTCTTACCCAGTCTGTTGTACAGGCTGTTAAGGCATCAGCCTGCTCAGTGGAGTAGCTAGGCTGACTCGCGGGATCACGGGTTCCAGCTGCTGGTGCTAGCAGGACTTTTAGGATGACAATTTCCAGTTGAAGTCCCACAGTGTGAGGTCTCAACTGAATGGATTCTGGGGAACTCGATGCTGCCTCGCTCAATACCGCTAACTGAAAATGCACTAATCGTCTAGGGTCAGTGTTATTATTTTAATGTAAAATTGCCCCCCCCTCACTCCGGCTGGTGGCCCTGTTTGGGGGAAGTTGTGGAAACTTTTGGACATGGAGCCTAGTTGGCAGATACAGGCTAATAGAAGTCAAATTTAAGGGTTATAGACCAGCTCCATCCACAATCTGAAGATCCCAGCCATAGGCTCTTACTGGCAGGAAGTCCACCCCTACACTGTGCTAGACTACATCTGTTGGACTCTAGTGTCCAAACACCGAGGAGGAGTCGCCCCCAGAAACCACCTCACACACCACAGGTGATGCAAAAGCATGAGGATTTTATTAATTCTGTCATGACAGGGTCCCTCAGCATTTGGGAAGCTGAGAGACCTCAAATAGTTGGTACAGTCTACTTTTAAAGGAGAAGGCCACAGAAGCAAGGGGGGTTGTTCTTTGACTATTATGATTGGCTTATTCAAAAGAGCTATTACCAATAATTGGCTGGAGAGCTGTTGCCAGATCAGATGAGGTAAGAGGTCATTTTGACCCCGTTTCCCAGGGGACTGAATCAAAGCATACGTATATGGGTTCAGGAACTGAGTACGTGTATATGTAGCTGTTAGGTCCTTGGTTCCCAGGGGAGGAGGGGAAGCACTATGGCACGGAGGCTGGGAGGATTCAGAATTGTCAGAAATGGCTTTAGAATTGTCTTAAAGTGATGGGTAAAAATAAATCCTCTGTCCCATGGGGTGCTGTCTTGGGGTACCCTGTCCTAGCAACAAGGTAGGAGGGCTTCTACTTCACTTCCTTTATCTTATGTAGTCTAGATTGGCCCATAACTCACAGTATAGCTAAGGATAACCTTAAACTCCTGATCCTCCTGCCTCTACCTCCCAGGTCCTGGGATTATAGGCCTGTGCCATCATGTCTCAGCTGAATGCCGTCCTGTTTGTTTGTTTGTTTGTTTGTGTGTGACCCCAGAGGCCAGAAGAGGGTATCAGATCCCCCAGAACCGGAATTATAGGCGGTTGTGAGCCACCTGATGTGGGTGCAGGGAAACACACTCAAGTCCTTTGCAAGAACAGGAAAAGTCCTAACCACCAAGCCATCTCTCCATTCTCCAAAGATGTCTTCTTGATAGTTTCTTATGACTATCTCCCCACTGACTTATGGCTCCATCTCTTCCCTCTACCATCTGTAGCAGCTTGAAGGTGGGGTCCCTGTCTTAACCACGTTTATGCACCCAAACACCTGGCTTGGCACTTCTGCCCAGCTGTTAATTATATGCTCATTAGATTTAATTGAATCCTGTTGTTGCAGTTGATGAATCAGAAGGAAGAGCGTGTATTTCCATACAACACAGCAAGCTGGAGCCCCAGCCATGCTGAGTTTCTTCCTTCGTTTTTGAAATTGATTGAGCGGCCCCCTAAGAGTTGTAAGTTCAGTCTCCTGTGTCTCCCTGGTGATCTAAATGTTAAGCGATCTTGGATGGGTCATTGATAATATGAGGCATTGAAAGCTTTCTGGGAAGAAAAGGGATGAGGATGTGGGGTCCTGGGATGCTCTCTCTGGTTGTTTAAATAAAGTGGCTTTAAAAAATGGGGTGTTCAAGACAGCTCCTGAAGCCTCCTCCTCTGCAACTTCCCAGCTGGAAGGAGTGGATTCAGTGCCCCACACACCTGTTTTGTTGCTCAGGAGGGAGGGACAGAGGTGGGCACAAGAGCATTCTTTGGTGGAGACAGTTTCCATGTTCACACAACCGTTGCCAAGGCTGGTAAAGTTTACCAGCACCATGGTCCCAAGAGAATCGGCAATCAGTCCATCTCTCGTGTTTGGGCTACTGTCAAGAAACGCCTCAAGAATTCCTTCCACGTGCCGGGCTTGCTCCTTTTGATGTGAGATGCTCCCAAGTCAAGTCTATAAGCAAAGGCCCAAATGAAGCTAGAGCCCCACCCTCAAAACTATCTAATGCACTATGGACGTGTGAGGACACTGAATACAGAAAGCAGAATGACAATCCAGAGAAGCAGGCCAGTGGCCACTGCCAACTGGCTACAAGCACTTATCAAGGGTGCCGTGCTCCAGTACGTGTTCAAAGAACATGAAGTCTTCACGTTAACTTCAGTCTGTGCTAATTCCAAGTTCACTGCTGGCCCCATTCGAGGACCGTGAAAACCTTGGCACAGAGAAATGTTTTAGGTAGTTGAAAGAAAGTCAGTAAGTAGGTATCTTAGTAAGGGTTTCTATTGCTGTGAATGAAAGCCCATGACCAAAAAGCTTACTCTTCCACATCATAGTTCATCTTCAAAGGAAGTCGGAACAGGAGCTCAGCCAGGGCTGGCACCTGGAGGCAGGAGCTGATGGATGCCGAGGCCATGGAGGGGGGCAGCTTACTGGCTTGCTCCCTGTGGCTTGCTCAGCCTGCTTTCCATAGAAGCCAGGAACACCAGCCCAGGGATGTCCCCACCCAGAATAGTCTGGGCCCTCCCTCATCAATCACTGATTCAGAAAATGCCCTACAGCCTGACCTGTAAGACATTTTCTCAGTTGTCTCCTCCTTTCAGAGAACTCTGAAGTTAACATCAAACTAGTCAACACAGTGGGGTTCCAGACTGGAAACCAGGCTGCTTACAGTCAGTTTTTCCATTTGTACAGACACGTGCATGTAGGTTAATGACTGTGGAAAACACTCAGGCCACCTGTCTGGTCCCTGGCGCAGGAGAGATGCAGGAGGCTGCTACATGGTGTGATGTTGTCATGGGGCGAAAAGATTCAGGAAGAGATGGATGCTCGTGTTTCCTCGAGATTTTCAATGTCTGAATGTGTGACAGACAGAGAGGAGCAGTGTTAGCCCACCGAGGAGGACCCACTGCAGGACCCGGAACTAAACTTGAGAGATCCATGAAGTTTGCGCTAGCGTCAGCGCCGCTGCACGAGACACAGAACCATGGAAAAGTCAGGGTTCTTGCTTTTAGTCTTCCACCAATGTAGAAGCAAGCTTTGAACTCAGTATTCAGAGTCAATGTCCTTGGAGTAATGTGCTTGCCTTTGCAAGGATAAAGACCTGAGATCCATCCTCCAACCCAAGTAACAGAGTAATAAGATGGTGCTTGCAGGAGGCAGAGACAAGCACATCTCTGGGCTCGCGACCACCAGCTCAGCCTTCATGCTGAGTCCAAACCAAAGGAAAACCCTGTCTCAAAAATAAGGTGGAAAGTGCCTGAGGAACAAAATCCTTGGTTATCTGCTGGCCTCCATGTGCGCGCGCACACATGCATGCATGCATGCACACACATACACATATGAGTCTGTGTCCTTGCATGGTATCAAAGATGGGTGTTGGAGAGATGGCTCAGCACGTGAGAGCACTGGCTGCCCTTCCAATGGTTCCAGGTTCAATTCCCAGTACCCACATGGCCAGCTCACAACTGTCTGTTACTCCAGTTCCCGGGCATCTGACACCTTCACACCAATGCACATAAAATAAAGTTAAAATAAATTACTTTTTTAAAAAATTGTTCAAGCAATAAGTTGTGATATGGGAACTACATCAAGCAGCAGAGTGTGACCCTGGAAACAAAGACTTGGAATTCAGTAGGCAAAGTTCGACTCCGTCCTTCTGGGCTGGAGTCTACAAGCAAACTCCCGACTTCTCTGTAGCTGTAATCTCATTCCTCCAGATGGCGGCCTTAAAGGAGCCACTCCCCGTAACCCACATAGGTGTGGTGTAAACACGCTTCTCCCTTCCTCCACTGACCAGTGACCCCCTCCCCGGGATGGGCCTATGCGCCTGAGCAGCTTGTAGGAAGGAGGAGGTTCAGTCAGTGGTTGCGTGATGCCATTACCCAGCACCCGCCACAGTAGAACAATCTCTTTTATTCTTTTGTCTTTTTTAAGAATCATCCGATACATGATAAGACTGACATACTCTCCATGGTCTCCATCTGTCCATTCATTGCTACCTGCGGTTTCAACAGCCATCCCCTGTGTCTTCCAGTGTCTCCTCAATTCACCCAAGGCCACGCAGAATATTTGGTTATCTGCTGAAAGTCAGTGAGATGTGTAAGGACAGCTTGGACTAAGAACCCCTAAATCTGTTGCCCTGAGAAACCCGTTCTAATCATCTCTGGCCCCAGGGTTCACCTTTAGTTTCCCATCTGTGACAAGACACTTGAGCAACTGTAAGGGGAAAAGGTCTGTGGGCTCCTGGTGTCAGAGGGTCAACCCCTGGTCGTCTGGGCCCGTGGAAGCCATGTGTCAGCTGGGAGCCTCACAGGAGCGCGCTCTATTAGTGACTTTCCCCTTTACTGGTATAAAACGCTCACAAGAAGCAACATTAAAGGGGGGAGGATTTATTGGGAGTTCAGGGTTTGAGGGGGATACAGCCCGTCATGGCCGAACAGGTAAGGCCATAGGAGTTGCCTGTGGCTGGACCAGGAGCAGCTTGTGCAGGTGGTTACATGGTGTCCAGAGTCAGCACAGGGCTCAAGTGGAAGGGATGACCCCATGACCCAGAACCCTCTAGCCCCACTCCTGCAGCCCTACCTCTGAGTTCAAGCTATGTGTCCAAAAGATTCCACAATGTCCGAAAATAGCACTGTTCCAGCGGGAGCCCCTGGTGGACACGTCACCTTCAGACCACAGACCGCAGTCGGCTTATGACGTTGTCCTCCTCTGCATCCCACATTAATTTTAACTATTGTTGTTGTTGTTGTTTTTGTGTGTGTACGTGCATGTGCACACCCAAGGAGTCAGAGACATGTTGGATTCCTTGGAGCTGGAGTTATAGGTAGTTGTAAGCTTCCTATGTGAATGCTGGGATTGAACTCAGGTCCTCTCCATGACTAATATTCACTCTTGACCACTGAGCCGTCTCTCCAGTCCCACCACCTTCTTTTGTAAGGCAAGGTCTCTTCCCTGATCCTAGAGCTCACCATATCCCCTGAGCTGGCTGGCCAGCAAGCCCCCAGCAACCACCTCTCTGCATCTTCCCATCACTGGGGATACGAGCACATGCTTCTATGTTGTGTGCTCGGAACCAAACTCAGGTCCTTTGGGGGAGCAGGGGGTGCCCATAACTACTGAGCCATCTCTCCAGCTCCTGGAGATACTTCTTCATTTTAAGCTAGGCATTTGTTTGGTTTAAAGAAAGAAGGCGGAGGTTTGCAAGCGGTGAACATTCTAGTTAGCCGGAAGAGAAAGTTACTGCGAGCGTGAAAGCCAACAGAAACCGGAATGTAACGCATTTTCCCTGTCGTTCCAGACACATGTCCGACCACTTCACGAACTTGTACCCACAGTTGATCAAGAACCCTTCCGTCATGGATAAAGTGCAGCGCTTCATGGAGTATGTATAAAAGCGTCCTGCTCTTGCTGCCAGGGCTCCCCTGCGGCCCCTCCCTCGTCAAGCTCCTAGTCTGTCTCTGCAGCAGAGGCTTTCCCATGGCGGGGGTCAGCTTTTCTGCTTGCTAGCCGCTTCAGCTCTTTCGGAGGTCAGGTTGAAAGTCACATTACCAACAGCTGAATCAGCTAGAAGCCATCGTCAGTGCCAAACAGACAAAGCCATATCTCTGAAGCCCCCCACACAGGTGTCCCTTACTTTCTTTCTAGGCATCCCTTCTCCTCGCTCCTTAAGGTGCTTCTGTGCTGTGTACCCGGCAATTAACTGAGTTGGGTGTTAAGGAATATCTAAATCCCTAGCCTGGAAGGCGAGAAGATGACAGGGTCTCACTTTGTAGCCCAGGCTGACCTGAAATCCACGATCTCCCTGCCTCAGCTTCCGGAGTACAGAGATTACCCACGTACCCAGTTCTAAAGTCAGACTTCTAATACTTTCTGGGGATGTTTCCATTTTAATTAAATTTTCTGGGGAGTAAAATTTAAGTATTATTAAATCAGTGGCATGCAGGAGAGTCATCTGGGAACACAAAGGTTCTTTCCTGCGTGGTCTGCTGATCACACATTAAACTCTGCATCTGTGAAAGGCTGAGAGGTGTGCATTGGATTGTCTTAAGAATAAAGACAAACCAGAAATGCTTTCTGTGTGAAAAATAATTACGTTAGATCATTAAATCATCCCATAGAAAGAACAGAGAGCTAAAAGTAGTAAAAATGAAGAAGCTGTTAAAAATAAAACATCCAGGGCCTGGAGAGGTGGCTCCCCAGTTAAGAGTGCTTGCCACTTCTGTAGATGACCTGGGTTCTGTTTCCAGAACCCACATGGAGGCTCACAACCATCTGTAACTCCAGGTCCAGGGGAATCCATCGCCCTCTTCTGGCCTCCACATGTACTGCATGCACAAGGCCCCTGGACAGACTGGCAGGCAAAATACTCATACAGCATGAATTAGTAAATAATCGTTAATATCATTCTATAACGTTGATGCAGATACCAATACTAAACCGAGATGAGATGGAGAGACGAGAGAGGGAAGCAGGACCGTTTTAAACAGCCTCGTCCGACTTCAGCTCTCCTGCACGCAAATGCAAAGCTATCCAGCCAGTCTTTAGTGCTGAAGCACAGTGGAGTAGCAATCTGTGCTTGGCTTTCATGGGTTAGTATCACATGCATAGCTTTCTAGACAAGGCCCCAGAAAAGCTACACAAAGTTAACATCCTGTGGGGACACCAGAAACCGTTTAACGTGCGTACCGAAATCACGTGAGTGGCGGCTGGAATCAAATCTAGAATTTAATTAGAGCAGCGTGTGTGTGGCTGTGTGACCTCTAGACTCCTGGTTTGATTTGGCTTCGAGTGAGCCATCATTGAGATCCGTGGTCAAATCAAATTTCTCCTCTAGGAAGCAAGATATATGGACTCGGAAAAACATCAAAGAACAGAAGGATGACCCATTTTGGAGACACACCGGCTATGTCATGGCCCAGCTGGACGGGCTTTATGTCGGAGCCCTGAAAAGGGCTTACATTGAAAATATGAAGGTAAGACTTTTCAAAGTGTCTCGGAATTCATATGGCCTGAGAGATGGAAAAAAAATATTTTGAATCCAAGGTTAGGGATATAGCTTTGTCGTAGAGAGAGCACTTATCTAGAATGTTCTCAGTTCTATCCCCAATGTCATAAACAAAACAAAAACCTCCTCATCTAATTGTTCTTACAGAAGTCCATTTTAATAAATCCAGCTGACAAAACAAACAAACAAGCCAATTATCAAGAGTACAGGGCCAACCTGGGCTACTTAGTTACCTCCAAGCTAGACTGGGCTTACACAGTGATACTCTGTCTCAACAAGAACAACAAACAGCATTCTAAACTACTGTTCAGCACAAAGTTTTGGTGCAAAACACAGCTTGTTTCTATTTTTGTCCAACCTTCTCTCTACACAGCTCATGCTGAGGTTTAAGAGCCGGTTACAAACATACAGGTTTTTTAGCTTACTTGACAGAGTTTTTGTGTTTGAAATTACCCTCTCATTAAGACAAAAATGTCTTAGTGTATAAATTCTGATCGCCACACCCAGCGATAATCACATAAACACACCAATGTGCAAAGCTATGTGTATTCATTCTGGAAGGGAACTAAGAAACCTTGAGGTGCCTAAGGTAGCAGCTGACATAGTTTCAAAAGTGATGGATAATTTGTGCCCTTGGGGTAATATGTGGGGTGTGTGAGAGTGTGTATGTGTGTGTAGATATATACATAGGACAAAATATTTGGAGAAAATTAACCAAAATGATGTTCATAATTCTAAGCCTTAAGAGATCACTCTTGCTCATAAATTAGAAATAAGACTTAAAGGCTGGGCATGGCGGCACATGCCTGAAACTCAAGCCCTTGGGGTGAGGAGGTGGATCAGGAGTTCAAAGCCACACAGGCTGGTTAGTTTTAACTGTCAACAAACAGACACCAAGAATCAGCAGAGAAGAGGACTGAGGGACTGTCTAGATCAGTTTGGCCCTGGGCCAGCCTGTGGGAGATGGCCTTGATGGCTGAGATGGGGAAAACCCACCCTGAATGGGGGCGGCACCACCTGGTGGCCTGTGCCCTGGACGGGAGAAGCGTAGAGAATGTGAGCTGAGTACCAGGCACAGGAGCAAGCCTGCATTTGTTCTCTTCACTGTTGGCTGTGATGCATCTTGACCTCCCTGAAGTGATGGACTGTAATCTGGGCTCGTAAACCAAGCAAATCCTCTCCTTGCCTCCACTGCTTCTTGTCCAGTATTGTGTCGCATCAACAGAAAAGAAACTGGGTCAGCCACCTTCCGCTGCAGAGGGAGATGGAGGCCAGCATGACCTTCATGAGACACTATGAGTGCTGGCTAGTTTTATGTCAGCATGACACAAGATAGAGTCATCAGAGAGGGCACATTTGTGTGCTGATGTGATTATCGCTGGGTGTGGCCACCAAAATTTATAAACTAAGCCACTTTCATCTTAAAGAGACAGTAATCTAAAACACTAAAACTCGCATCAAGTTAGCTAAAAAGTCTGTACATTTGTAACCAGGTCCTAAACCTCAGTGTGAGCTGTGTATAGAGAAGGCTGGAACATCATTTAATTAAAAAATGCCTCCATAAGATCTGCTGTAGGCAAGCCTGTAGGGCATTTTCTTAGTTAGTAATTGATGGCAGAGGGCTCTGTGGGTGGTGCAGTCTCTGAGCTGGTAGCTCTGGGTCCTATAAGAAAGCAGGCTGAGCAAACCAGGAAGAGCAAGCCCGTAAGCAGCACCCTCCATGGCTCCTGCATCAGCTCCTGCCTCCAGGTTCCTGCCCTGTGTGAGTTTCTGCCCTGATTTCCTTCTGTGAAGGACTACGGTGTAGAAGTGCAAGCCACATAAACCCTTCTCTCCCCAAGTTGCTTTGGTCATGGTGTCACATTATAGTAATAGTAACCATGACTAGGACACTATATAAGAGAGGGGGGGGGAGAGGGAGGAGGGAAAGGAAGGAAGGAAGGAAGGAAGGAAGGAAGGAAGGAAGGAAGGAAAGAAAGAAGGAAGGAAACAATAAGTCTATTGAGAAGATAAGAGATCAAGTCTCTTGTTTCAGGCCTGATGATCTGGGTTCAATCACTATGTAGAGATAGTGGAAGGAGAAACTTGACTTACAAATTGTTCTCTGATGTCCATATGTGCAGTGTGGCATATGTACATACATACACACACACACACACACACAAGCACACACACACACACACAGAAACAACTTCTACCCTCACCAACACACAAAAATATAAAATATAGTTTAAACATTTTTAAAGAATAAAACCCTAGGGGTGTGCAGGGATGAATCAGCAGTTACGAGCGCTGACTGCTCTTGCAGAGGAGCTCCAGTTAAATTCCCTGCGCCCACATTGGGTTCACATGTTTAACTCCAGTTCTAGAGGATCTTGTGCCCTCTTCTGGCCTTCTTGGGTACTGCATGTATATAGTTGACAGCCATACATGCAGGACAAAACCTCTATACACATAAAGTAAAAATAAATAAATCTGTTTATTAAATAAGAAAAAGAATAAAAAACTAAAATAACTACCTAGAAAGAAGAAAGTAGAGATAGAGAGAAGGAGCAGAGGCAGCATTTTCTTGAATGAAATTTGTTTTGTAGGTTTGACTTCAAAACCACACTTGGTGGTCCTAATTACAAGGTACAATTTAATGACAAAGAAAAGCAATATTTTCAAAGGTGGGGGAGATGATGCAAATATACCTAACTTTTCAAAAAATTGCTTTTGCTTTTTTGAGATCATAGTATAATTGCATCATTTCCCCCTCCCCTTTCCTCTCTCTAAGCCCCTCACTCTCTCTAAGCCTCTCTCTGAGCCTTTCTCTAAGCCTCTCTTTCAAATTCATGACCTCTTTTTCTCATCAACTGCTGCTACATGCATACATGTGTATGTGTGTATATGCGTAGATATCCCTACAGAAGCCCAGGCTGCTCCGTGCATTTACATCCCTTGTCTGTTTCAGGGCTGCCCATGAGTACTGGGATAAACCACTGGTGGGCTCTCCCTGGGGACGACTGTTTCTCCCACTCTTAGCATAACATAGTTGCCTGTAGTTCTTTCGTAGGGCAGAGGCCCCGTGGTTTTTCTCCATCTACTTAAGTCTTCTGTCTTTGACATCCTTGTTCAACTCATGTTTGGGAAACCATGTTGGTGAGTCTTTATGGGTCAAGCCTCTAATATTCCTAGGAGACACAGGCTCACAGAAAACTTAGGCTCTTTACATCCCTTCTCCAACAATGTTTCCTGAGTCTTCGGTACAGACTCTCCTTTGGGACTGGGCTCTGCAGCTCTGTATTTTGATTAGTTGTGGTTTGCCAGAATAGCTGCATCTGTTAAAAAGAGAAGTTTCGGCCGGGCGGTGGTGGCGCACGCCTTTAATCCCAGCACTCGGGAGGCAGAGGCAGGCGGATCTCTGTGAGTTCGAGACCAGCCTGGTCTACAAGAGCTAGTTCCAGGACAGGCTCCAAAACCACAGAGAAACCCTGTCTCGAAAAACCAAAAAAAAAAAAAAAAAAAAAAATAAAAAGAGAAGTTTCCCTGGTGAAGGGTGAGGGTTGGGCTTATCTGTGGTTATAAGGAAAATATCTAAACTTTTAACAAAAAGAAACTAACATGAGAATTTAATTGTGTGTGGTGGTTTCATTTCTATAATCTGAGCAGTTGGGGATCCTGAGGCAGGAGAATTTCTGAGAGTTTTCACTAGCCTGGCTTCATAGTGGAATGATAGCTCAAGAAACAACAAAAGAAACAGGCTAGAACGAGGCGTATCAGTTGAGAGTACTTTCTTTTTGGTTCTGGGCCCCCCAAGTCAGGCTGCTCACAGCTGCCTGTAACTCCAGCTTCGGGAGACCCAATGGTTCTGGCCTCCTCAGCACCTACATTCATATGTACATGCCCCCACATACATAAACATGATTAAAAATAGTAAAAATGGGCGGTGGTGGCACACGCCTTTAATCCCAGCACTCGGGAGGCAGAGGCAGGCGGATCTCTGTGAGTTTGAGACCAGCCTGGTCTACAAGAGCTAGTTCCAGGACAGGCTCCAAAACCACAGAGAAACCCTGTCTCGAAAAAAAAAATAGTAAAAAAATTAATATTTGTTTTAAAAAGAAAATAGACTTGAAACAAAAATAAGGTTTGTGGTGGTTTGAATGACAATGGCCCCCACAGACTCATATATTAAAATCCTTGGTCATCAGTGGCTGGAACTGTTTGGGAAGGATCGGGAGGTGTGGCTTTGTTTGGGAAGAATCAGAAGGTGTGGCTTTGTTTGGGAAGGATCAGAAGGTGTGGCTTTGTTTGGGAAGGATCAGGAGGTGTGGCTTTAGGAAGGGTCAGAAGGTGTGGCTTTGTTTGGGAAAGGTCAGGAGGTGTGGCTTTGTTTGGGAAGGAGGAGGTATGGCTTTGGGAAGGGTCAGGAGGTGTGGCTTTGTTTGGGAAAAGTCAGGAGGTAAAGCTTTGTTGGAGAAAGTGTGTCACTGAGGGTGGAAGCCTGTGCCATTCCCAGTTAGCTCTCTGGGTCTCCTGCTGATGGATCAGAAGTAAGCTCTCAGATACTGCTCCAGAACCATCCCTTCTTGCCTGCTGCCAAGCTCCTCATCATGATAATTCTAGGCTCTAACTCTCTGGAGCCATGAAACCCAATGAACCTTTTTTTATATAAGTTACTGTAGTCATGGTGTCTCTTCACAGCAATGGAAAAGTAACCAAGACAGCTTATAAATAAAAAAGCAAGCAACCTGTGGGCTGTGGAAATGGCTCAGTGGGTAAAGGGCTTGCTGTGTTGTCATGAGATCTGAGTTCAGATCCTCGGCAACCATAGGCCACAACCCCAGTACTGGGAGGTTGCTGTTGCTATGTGGAGAGTAGAAAATATCTATCTATGCTCCTGAACAGCACACAGAACACCGCCCCCTCCATGAAATAACCACCCTGCCCAAGACAGAACACTGCTGTTCTCGAGAGGAGCTCCTGCAGAGGAGCACCAACAGAAGTTCTGCTTGTTGTCTTCGCCAAGGAATTTCCCTTCCAGAATCTGTCCCGACACAAACATGCTAACTTCGCTTCTCAGTTACAAAGCCAGAAACTTAGTTTGTGAGTTAAAGTAACATGAAGGACGTAGCCCCTCCACATGACAATAGTTAAGAGAAGCCTGAACAACAAGCAAAGCCAGAGAGGACACGTGTCGCAACTCAGTGCTGTTGGTGCCTTTTTATAGCCCATGACGATGGCCCAAGTTCAGTTCCTGAATGCCGTTGGGGACCTGCTGGACCTCATTCCCTCTCTGTCTCCCACAAAAGGCGGCAACATGAAGGCGTTCAAGAGATGGGACATGGGCCACTGTTCTGCTCTTATTAAGGTGAGACCCACAGTCCCTGTCTTCTTCCCACCAGCACGGACTTTTTATTAGCATGTACTAATCACACACCACAACCAGTTTCCCGAATCACTTTTTCCGCACACACCTTTCCCATCTGTCTTTCACCCACACGTAGGAAACCTCTCCTTAGCCCTGGCTGGCTGTGGACCACTGCATAGACCCTCCGTGGTATTTAAGAACTGGCAGGAACTCGGATGGAGGGAATTAGACACGGTGTCCACCTATTTCCTCCACAATTCTGCCTCCACTATATGCATGCGCCATTCCTACCTTCCAGATCCTTCTGGTGTGGGCTTTGGAAGGACAGTCTGTGTTGCATACATTAAATGTTAGTGTTGGACTCCTTTGGCCATATTTTCCAGTAACAAAGAAAGCAATAATAGCGGAGATCACTCAGCAGGGGAAAGGCTCTTGCTGCCAAGCCTGGAGGCCTGAGTTAGATCCCTGAGACCCGCATGGCGGAAGGAGAGAAGTAACTCCCACAAATTGTCCTCTGACCTCCACATGTGTACCTGGCACACACTCCCCCGCAGGAATACATGCACACACTCACACAAGTAAGTGTAATTATTTTTAAGAAGAGAACGCCATAAAGATAAGTTGACACAATCCCTCAGGGGTACCCACGTGTATTGTCTACACGCTTACCATTTGCCCACACTTCTAACTGTGGCTTTGACTGCAGGTCCTTCCTGGATTTGAGAACATCTATTTTGCCCACTCAAGCTGGTACACATACGCAGCCATGCTCAGGATCTATAAACACTGGGACTTCAACATCAAGGACAAGTACACCACCAGCAGCCGGCTCTCCTTCAGCAGCTACCCAGGTAAATAAATCCAGGGTGCGGTCTGAGGATCGGCTCCAAGTTAACTGGATGGAGAGACGAAACATCCCCAGCTGTAGTACAGTTGGATTTTTAGAACGTCGTTTAAAGAAATTAAGTTGCCTTTTTTAATAGAATGACCTAAGTGGGCTCACAGTGCTTTGTGAATGTAAGTGGATGTGTCTGAATTAATCTCAAATGCTGACTGGTTCTAGCAGAGTGACTCGGTAAGTCCCGCCTCAGGATCTTGGTTTCCCTCCTTCATAGCGTGTGCCTGGTACTCCACTGCTGTGTGACCCCTAGCGCATAGCTAATGACTGAGTGTGGACTTCTAGCCTCCGCACTGCAGTCGGGAGAGGCAGGAGTTACGGTAGCGCTGGATACCACAGGCTCTGTCTTATTTCTGCTGTTGTTGTAATAAAATGCCCTGACGAAAGCAACCTACGGGAGACAGTTAAGGGTGTGGTCCATCGTGGCGTGGATGTCCTGGAGGTAAGAGCTTGAGGCAGCTGCTCATGCTGCATCCTCTGTCAGGGAGCGGGAAGAGATGACCGCTCCTACTTAGCCTCTTTCTTCTGCTTACCCAGTCCATGACCCAAGGCTTGGGAGGGGGCCACCCGCTTTTCCGGTGGGCCTTCCCACCCCTACTAACCTAGTAAAATAATCCTTTACAGGCTTAACCAGAGCTAACCTAATCTAGGTAATTCCTCACAGGTGTGCCCAGAGGCTAATCTCATCTAGGTGACCCCCCACAGGTATGCCCAGAGGCTTGTCTCCTAGGTTACTGAAAATTCTATTAGGTTGATGATCAGCATTAACTATGAAAGCTATAGAAAGTTTTTGTTTGTTTGTTTGTGGTAGAAATGGTTCGGTTTTTCGAGATAGGGCTTCTCTGTGTAAACCCAGATTTTCTAGAACTCTGTAGACCAGGCTGGCCTGGAACTCAGAGAAAGCTGCCTGACTCTGCCTCCTGAGTTCTGGGATTAAAGACATCTGCCACCACCCAGCGAGGTATTGAAGTTTAATAAACATTAGGAGTAGCCCAAAGAGAGGGTGCCACATCTGCTTGGTGGGAAAAGAACAGTTGACATTTGAGATGAATTGTAGCTAGAATTAGAACAGTAGAGAGGAATAGGAGGTGTCTGAGAGAGGAGGGCTAGCAAACCCAAAGCCTAGAGGACACAGTTGGTGACTGTCATTGAACAACGGGCAGGAATAAGACAACAGAGAGGGCAGAATTGTAGTGATGAGCAGGCATGTTGAGAGGGCAGAAGCCCGTCTCATGCTCTGTGTTCAGGGAGCTGCCATCAGCTCTATGGAGACAGGTGGTCGTGTGCCTTTGGCCTGGAGGAGGGCTAGGGCAGAGCTGTATTCTGTAGCCACATCAGTTGTTAGGCAAAGTAGACCATGACTTTTCAAGATATTTCTAGTGAGGGATGGGAAGCTTCTAGAACAGTGGCCTAACTCTTCTTAATGCTGAGACCCTCATGTTGTGGTGACCCCAACAATAGTTATCTTGTTGTTATTTCATAACTGTGATTTTGCTACTGTTCTGAATCTGTAAATATCCAATTCAGGATGGTCTTAGGTGACCCCTGTGAAAGGGTCCTTCAACCATCCCAAAGAGATGGTGGCCGGTGTTGAGAACCACTGTTCTAGAACAAAGCTGTCCCAAGGGCTGCCATAGAGGATCCGGAACTGGGAACGCGTATTTCTTGCAGTTTCACCATCTAGGAGACAACTTTATGTATCTCAGTGGGAGGCAATAAACCCCTTGCAAAGCCAGGCTTGCCTTTGAAGCAACCTTGGAGCAGGCTGGAGCAGCTACTCAGAAAGACGCCTACTACAGAAACGGAGCCTGTGGGGCCAGAGGTGGAGCCCAGAGTACAGTTTCCTATCACGTGGTCCAGCCCCACCCCCAGAGCCGAGAACAGGTCAACAGATGACCTTGGCAAGTTTGAGGCTTAGAATGCAGCCTATGTAATAAAAGTTGCTCCAAGTCTGACAGCTTGGTTTGCTCTTGGGACCATGCAACGGGCACAGGTTTAGAACCCTTTATATTGAATCATTGTGTGTGTGTGTGCATGTGTGTGTGGTGTGTGTAGTGTGAGTGGAGGTATGTGTGCATTGTGTATGTGTGGTGTGTGTAGTGGGGGGGTATGTGTGCATTGTGTGTATGTGTGTGTGGTGTGTGTGTGTATGTGTGGTATGTGTGTGTATGTGTGTGTGTGGTATGTGTGTATGTGTGTGTGGTGTGGGGGGTGTGTACATTATGTATATGTGTGTGTGGTGTGTGTATGTGTGTGTATGTGTGTGTGGTGTGGGGGTATGTACATTGTGTATGTGTGTGTGGTGTGTATGTGTGTGTGGTGTGTGTGTATGTGTGTGTGTGGTGTGTATGTGTGTGGTGTGGGGGGGTGTGTACATTGTGTATATGTGTGTGTGGTGTGGGGGTGTGTGCATTGTGTATATGTGTGTGTGGTGTGTATGTGTGTGTGGTACGTGTGTGTTGGGAAGCTAGACAAAAGGTCCCAGGTAAGGGACAGGTAATAAGGTCCCATATGAGTCTCTCTCTACACTCGGAGATGCCTGTGTTAGCCCAGCGAGTCTTAGCCAACAGAAGGAGATTTAGAAATTTTCTAGAAAGGTAATTTCTGTGCTAGACACGGGTCAGGAATACGATGCCTGGCATGATCTACCTGGTTGGTCACAGGGTGGCGGAGGGAGACTTAGAGGATTTTAAGTAAGACATTTGAAAGCCAAGTAGGTACGTGTACGGGTGGGGTGGGTCTTCAGCCCTTGGCTGCCACACCTGGCCATACCCTTCAGCTTTCTCAGGACTTCACACGGTAACAGCTACAGGCTGTCATAAGAAATTAACAAAATGACTAATAATTATTAGAATTACTTCTTCCAGTGTTCGGACTTAAAAAGATGAAGTCTGGAGCTGGGTGTAGTGGTGTTCACCTATAATCTCAGCACTCGGGGGGTGGGAGCAACAGGCTCAGGGGTTCAAGGCAGACTAGGCTACACGAGACCTTGTCACAAACAAAACCATAAAAAAGATCAATGTAAATACTGGATTCATCGCAATTGATCTTCTCCTTGACTTGAGCATATGTGTTCATTTAAATATTTGGGTAATGTTTTTTAGTTTTACATACAGCATTAATCAGTTTTCCATCACGATAATAAAATACCTGACCTAGCATAGTGACATACACCTTCAATTCCAGCACTCAAGAGGCCAAGACAGGCAGATGTCTGTGAGTTCCAGGCCAGCCAGGGGACTAGGGGACATAGACTCTCTCTCTCTCTCTCTCTCTCTCTCAAAAATAAATAAACCAAAAAAAAAAAAAAACGTATAAAAACACCAGGTGGCATACCTGCCTTTAATCCCAGTAGTTGGAATGCAGGAAAGGGAGATAGACTTCTGAGTTCGAGGTCAGACTGGTCTACAGAAAAAAGTTCTAGGACAACCAATGCTACACAGAGAAACCCTGTCTCAAAAAACCAAATACATAAATAGACAGACAGACAGACAGATATGTGAGGAAACAAATGAAATGCCTGACAACCTTATGGAAGATGAGTAGTTTACTTAGCATGCAGTTTGGTGCGTTTAACAGCACAGTGTTGACAAATGCTTAGATCTGAGCGACATCACATGACGGGTCAAAGCTAGAGCACTGTCAAAGTCATTGCATCTCAAGCCAGGACCAGGGAGAGAGAGGACAGCCCGTAGTCCTCAAGGAGACCATGAGAAGCATTGGCCCCTAGGCCTCAATGACAAGGCTGTCTTGAGAGGCCTTACCTCCCAAAAGTGCTACTGTCCCCCAGTAACAACAGTAAGACCCCAGTCTTAATAGATTCTTGGGGGACCCTAAACCAAACTGAAATTTGTGCATATGTTTTAATTAAATTTATTCTTAAATAAGTTTTGGTGCTACCATAATCAAAACAAATGTTTTTTTTCATTTTTCCTATAGTTCATCATATGTTTGTGCATGTGTATTAGTAAGTCACTGCTAACTAACAAAGAGTCCTAAAAAAATAGCAGCTTACCACAGTGCTGGGCACTTAGCATCTCATGGGCTTTGTGGACCAGCAGCTTAGATGCGGTGAGGGAAATGTGTCTGGGACTCAGCTAGAGGAGAAAAGACTGGGGTCCTGGAGGGCTGGAAATGTGGGTGGCTTAATTGAAGCTTGAGGATTCCCAAGGGCACTCACGGGGCTGGAAGGGTGGCTGGCGCTCCTTCCTCTCCACTCCAGGCTCTCCTCGGGAGTGACTGTCACTCGATCAAGTGACACTGGAGAACGAGCTATTGTGACCCAGCTCAGAGGTCACACATGGCCCTTTCCACTGCATTCTATTTATCAGAAGTGAGGGACAACGGCCAGTTTAAAAGCAAAAATAAATAAATAAATAAAGCCTAACTTTTTGAAACAAAAACTGCCAAAGTATTTGTGGACAAGTCAAGACCACCACTGCGCCCTGCTTCCAGGTGGCTGCAGAGAGGATTTTGAGTTTGAGGCCAGCCTGTTGAGACTCTGTCTCAAACAAAAAAAAAAAAGAGCAAACAAAATACTATTAGACAATGATTTTGTTTTGTTTTGTTTTGTTTTTAATTTTATTTTGAGGCAGGCTTTCATTATGTAGCCTGACGGGCCTGGCACTTGCTCTGTAGACCAGGCTGGCCCTACAGTCACAGACTTATACCTGCCTTCACCTCCTGAGTGCTCGGATTGAAACACCTGCCTCAGAAGATGCATCTCACTGTCACTTACCTCCCTGAGGCCTTTTTATGTCTGTTTATCGTATGTGTAGGTGTTCTCACACTACACATGTGTGTGGAGAGCCACCAGAGAGACTTGGGGCTCTCTTCCTGTCACAAGGGTCTGGGACTAGAGCTCAGTCTTCGGGGTTGGTGGTAAGAACGTTTTTAACTCAACGAAAGGGCTATGAGTTCCACGAATTTGCTTCTCTCCAGCCCAAGACTTCC